GAAGTTACAAAAGTCAGAGAAGGCGAGAGATGAGAGAGGAAGCAGAGACGAGATGAGGCGAAGAGAGAGAGAGAGAGAAGAGAGGCAGAGATGAGAGAGGACGAAACGACGAGGATGAAATGCAGAAGAGAGTGAGAGAGCACGAGAGAGAGAGAGAGATGAGGAAGGGAGATGAGAGGGAAGGAGAGAGAAGGAGAGAGAGAGAAGAAAGCAGAGAGAGGATCAGAAGAGAGAAGAGAGGCCAGAGAGAGAGAGAGAGAGGGGAGAGAGAGAGAGGAGAGGAGAGAGAGAGAGAGAGAGGGAGAGAGAGAGGAAGAGAGAGAGAGAGAGAGAAGAGAGAAGAAACAAACAAACAAACAGATAGCCCACTCAGAAAGTCAGAAAAAAAGACATTTAAAAGAAAGAGCTACAGAAAGAGGTATAGAAAGGGACAAATAGTGGAAAGAAAGTAGACAAAATTCACAGATGAAGATAATGCCATGACCCACAGCCCAAAGACGAAGCGGAAGCAGAGAGAGAGAGAAGAGAGAGAGAGAGAGAGAGAGAGAGGAGAGAGAGAGAGAGAGAGAGAGAGAGAAGAGAGAGAGAGAGAGAGAGAGAAAGAGAGAGAGAGAGAGAGAGACACAGATATACACAGAGATAGAGAGAAAGAAAAAAAGAGCTGCATAAAAGAAAGAACTAAAGAGAGAGGCAGAGACAGACAGACAGATACATACAAAGATGGAAAATAAGAAAAAAGAGCTGCATAAAAGAAGGAACTATAGAAAGAGAGTGAGGCAGAGACAGACAGACAAACACATACAGAGAGAAAGTAAGAAAAAAGAGCTGCATAAAAGAAAGAACCAAAGAAAGAGGAAGAGACAGACAGACAAAAGGACGGTGCCAAGCCTCGCAGCCCACAGACGGGCCCGCCCACCCGCTCTCCGGGCGAGGACTTCCAGCATTCACAAGACGCCCACGGCTGTCAGATCTCTCCCTCGGTCTGACACCACGCCCTTTTGTCCTCTTAATTCCGCTTTAATCGGGAGGAATCGGAACCAGAGTCCGTTTGGCACTGATTGGCACCGACTCCTGAACTCCGAATATCAAAATTGACAATTTACTGAAGATCGTGTCAACAGAAAGCGGTGCCGAGACTTTTCACTTTTCGGAAATGCATGATTGATGCGTCATATATGATATACATATATATATATAATATATATATATATATATATATATATGATATTATAATATATATATATAATATATATATATAAATATATATATATAATATATATGTACTGTGTGTGTGTGTGTGTGTGTGTGTGTGTGTGTGTGTGTGTGTGTGTGTGTGTGTGTGTGTGTATGTGTGTGGTATATAGTAGTATAGATATATAAGAGTAGATAGACTAGATATAAAAGGTTCTAGACTCCCTCGACCTTCAAACATCAAAAATAATTTTACTGGGGACGGCCGAATGTGAATGATTCAATATCACACATTCTCGCAACCCAAAAATACACGATTAAAAAAAAGAAATGAAAAAGAAGAAATCCCAACAAGTGCAAAAAATGAAATACAAATAAATATAGATAGTTAGTATTATCTAAACAAGCAAAAAAAAATAATAATAAAAATAAAAATATAAAAAAAATTTATATTGATCATCATTTATTATCTTAAAAAAGGAAAAAAACATCCCCCCCCCCCAAAA